CACACAGTGAGACACACAGTGAGACACAGAGACACAGTGTGAGACACAGAGACACAGACACACAGTGAGACACACAGTGAGACACACAGTGAGACACAGACACACAGCGAGACACACAGTGAGACACAGACACACAGTGAGACACACAGTGAGACACAGAGACACAGTGAGACACACAGTGAGACACAGTGAGACACAGTGAGACACACAGTGAGACACAGAGACACAGAGACACAGTGAGACACACAGTGAGACACACAGTGAGACACAGACACACAGTGAGACACACAGTGAGACACAGGCAACACAGTGAGACACAGTGAGACACAGACACACAGTGAGACACACAGTGAGACACAGATACACAGTGTGAGACACAGAGACACAGACACACAGTGAGACACACAGTGAGACACACAGTGAGACACAGAGACACAGTGTGAGACACAGAGACACAGACACACAGTGAGACACACAGTGAGACACAGAGACACAGTGTGAGACACAGAGACACAGACACACAGTGAGACACACAGTGAGACACACAGTGAGACACAGACACACAGCGAGACACACAGTGAGACACACAGTGAGACACAGACACACAGTGAGACACACAGTGAGACACAGAGACACAGTGAGACACACAGTGAGACACAGTGAGACACAGTGAGACACACAGTGAGACACAGTGAGACACAGAGACACAGTGAGACACACAGTGAGACACAGAGACACAGAGACACAGTGAGACACACAGTGAGACACAGACACACAGTGAGACACACAGTGAGACACAGGCAACACAGTGAGACACAGTGAGACACAGACACACAGTGAGACACACAGTGAGACACAGATACACAGTGTGAGACACAGAGACACAGACACACAGTGAGACACACAGTGAGACACAGAGACACAGACACACAGTGAGACACACAGTGAGACACAGAGACACAGTGTGAGACACAGAGACACAGACACACAGTGAGACACACAGTGAGACACACAGTGAAACACAGACACACAGTGAGACACACAGTGAGACACACAATGAGACACAGAGACACAGTGAGACACACAGTGAGACACACAGTGAGACACACAGTGAGACACACAGTGAGACACACAGTGAGACACACAGTGAGACACAGACACACAGTGAGACACAGTGAGACACAGACACACAGTGAGACACAGACACACAGTGAGACACACAGTGAGACACAGACACACAGTGAGACACACAGTGAGACACAGACACACAGTGAGACACACAGTGAGACACAGAGACACAGTGAGACACACAGTGAGACACACAGTGAGACACACAGTGAGACACAGTGAGACACAGACACAGTGAGACACACAGTGAGACACACAGTGAGACACACAGTGAGACACAGACACACAGTGAGACACACAAACACAGTGAGGCACACAGTGAGACACACAGTGAGACACAGACACACAGCGAGACACACAGTGAGACACAGACACACAGTGAGACACACAGTGAGACACAGAGACACAGTGAGACACACAGTGAGACACAGTGAGACACAGACACACAGTGAGACACAGACACACAGTGAGACACAGACACACAGTGAGACACAGACACACAGTGAGACACACAGTGAGACACACAGTGAGACACACAGTGAGACACACAGTAAGACACAGACACACAGTGAGACACAGTGAGACACAGACACACAGTGAGACACACAGTGAGACACAGTGTGAGACACAGAGACACAGACACACAGTGAGACACACAGTGAGACACACAGTGAGACACACAGTGAGACACACAATGAGACACAGAGACACAGTGAGACACACAGTGAGACACACAATGAGACACAGAGACACAGTGAGACACACAGTGAGACACACAGTGAGACACACAGTGAGACACAGAGACACAGTGAGACACACAGTGAGACACAGTGAGACACACAGACACAGTGAGACACACAGTGAGACACAGACACACAGTGAGACACACAGTGAGACACACAATGAGACACAGAGACACAGTGAGACACACAGTGAGACACAGTGAGACACACAGTGAGACACAGAGTGAGACACAGACACACAGTGAGACACAGTGAGACACAGTGAGACACAGACACACAGTGAGACACACAGTGAGACACAGAGACACAGACACACAGTGAGACACAGACACACAGTGAGACACAGAGACACAGTGAGACACACAGTGAGACACAGTGAGACACACAGACACAGTGAGACACACAGTGAGACACAGACACACAGTGAGACACACAGTGAGACACACAGTGAGACACACAATGAGACACAGAGACACAGTGAGACACACAGTGAGACACAGTGAGACACACAGTGAGACACAGAGTGAGACACAGACACACAGTGAGACACAGTGAGACACAGTGTGGCACAGACACACAGTGAGACACACAGTGAGACACAGAGACACAGACACACAGTGAGACACAGACACACAGTGAGACACAGAGACACAGTGAGACACACAGTGAGACACACAATGAGACACAGAGACACAGTGAGACACACAGTGAGACACAGTGAGACACACAGTGAGACACAGAGTGAGACACAGACACACAGTGAGACACAGTGAGACACAGTGAGACACAGACACACAGTGAGACACAGACACACAGTGAGACACACAGTGAGACACAGAGACACAGACACACAGTGAGACACAGACACACAGTGAGACACAGAGACACAGTGAGACACACAGTGAGACACACAGTGAGACACAGACACAGAATGAGACACACAGTGAGACACAGAGACACAGTGTGAGACACACAGTGAGACACAGACACACAATGAGACACACAGTGAGACACAGAGACACAGTGTGAGACACAGAGACACAGACACACAGTGAGACACACAGTGAGACACACAGTGAGACACAGACACACAGTGAGACACACAGTGAGACACAGACACACAATGAGACACAGAGACACACAGTGAGACACACAGTGAGACACACAGTGAGACACACAGTGAGACACACAGTGAGACACAGACACACAATGAGACACAGAGACACACAGTGAGACACACAGTGAGACACAGAGACACAGTGAGACACACAGTGAGACACACAGTGAGACACACAGTGAGACACACAGTGAGACACACAGTGAGACACAGAGACACAGTGAGACACAGTGAGACACAGAGACACAGTGAGACACACAGCGAGACACACAGTGAGACACCGAGACACAGTGAGACACAGTGAGACACAGTGAGACACACAGTGAGACACAGAGACACAGTGAGACACACAGTGAGACACAGAGACACAGTGAGACACACAGTGAGACACAGACACACAGTGAGACACACAGTGAGACACACAGTGAGACACACAGTGAGACACAGACACACAGTGAGACACACAGTGAGACACAAAGTGAGACACACAGTGAGACACAGTGAGACACACAGTGAGACACAGAGTGAGACACAGACACACAGTGAGACACAGTGAGACACAGTGAGACACAGACACACAGTGAGACACACAGTGAGACACAGAGACACAGACACACAGTGAGACACAGACACACAGTGAGACACAGAGACACAGTGAGACACACAGTGAGACACAGTGAGACACACAGACACAGTGAGACACACAGTGAGACACAGACACACAGTGAGACACACAGTGAGACACACAGTGAGACACACAATGAGACACAGAGACACAGTGAGACACACAGTGAGACACAGTGAGACACACAGTGAGACACAGAGTGAGACACAGACACACAGTGAGACACAGTGAGACACAGTGAGACACAGACACACAGTGAGACACACAGTGAGACACAGAGACACAGACACACAGTGAGACACAGACACACAGTGAGACACAGAGACACAGTGAGACACACAGTGAGACACACAATGAGACACAGAGACACAGTGAGACACACAGTGAGACACAGTGAGACACACAGTGAGACACAGAGTGAGACACAGACACACAGTGAGACACAGTGAGACACAGTGAGACACAGACACACAGTGAGACACAGACACACAGTGAGACACACAGTGAGACACAGAGACACAGACACACAGTGAGACACAGACACACAGTGAGACACAGAGACACAGTGAGACACACAGTGAGACACACAGTGAGACACAGACACAGAATGAGACACACAGTGAGACACAGAGACACAGTGTGAGACACACAGTGAGACACAGACACACAATGAGACACACAGTGAGACACAGAGACACAGTGTGAGACACAGAGACACAGACACACAGTGAGACACACAGTGAGACACACAGTGAGACACAGACACACAGTGAGACACACAGTGAGACACAGACACACAATGAGACACAGAGACACACAGTGAGACACACAGTGAGACACACAGTGAGACACACAGTGAGACACACAGTGAGACACAGACACACAATGAGACACAGAGACACACAGTGAGACACACAGTGAGACACAGAGACACAGTGAGACACACAGTGAGACACACAGTGAGACACACAGTGAGACACACAGCGAGACACACAGTGAGACACAGAGACACAGTGAGACACAGTGAGACACAGAGACACAGTGAGACACACAGCGAGACACACAGTGAGACACCGAGACACAGTGAGACACAGTGAGACACAGTGAGACACACAGTGAGACACAGAGACACAGTGAGACACACAGTGAGACACAGAGACACAGTGAGACACACAGTGAGACACAGACACACAGTGAGACACACAGTGAGACACACAGTGAGACACACAGTGAGACACAGACACACAGTGAGACACACAGTGAGACACACAGTGAGACACACAGTGAGACACAGTGAGACACACAGTGAGCCACACAGTGAGACACAGACACACAGTGAGACGGCGTGACCCCCCGGGGTCGCGACCCCCGACCCCCGACCCCTCACCTGCGCCCCTGTGGGTGAAGGTGACCCTGGCGTCGGGGCTGAAGTGGTTGCCATGGAGATGGAGGAGGTCGCCCCCGGCGACGGAGCAGCAGGAGGTGCTGAGTCGCTCCACCACCGGCAGCTCCTGGGCAGAGCGCTGAGCTGCAACAACAACAACAACAACCACAACAACAACAACTATTATAAACAACAACAACAACAACCACAACAACCACAACAACAACAACCACAACTATAAACAACAACAACAACAACCACAACAACCACCACAACCATTATAAACAACAACAACAACAACCATTATAAACAACAACCACAACAACCACCACAACCATTATAAACAACAACAACAACAACAACCACTATTATAAACAACAACAACAACCACTATTATAAACAACAACAACAACAACAACCATTATAAACAACAACAACAACCACTATTATAAACAACAACAACAACAACTATAAACAACAACAACCACTATTATAAACAACAACAACAACAACTATTATAAACAACAACAACAACTATAAACAACAACAACAACAACCACTATTATAAACAACAACCATTATAAACAACAACAACAACCATTATAAACAACAACCATTATAAACAACAACAACAACAACAACCACAACAACCACCACAACCATTATAAACAACAACAACAACAACCACAACAACAACTATTATAAACAACAACAACTATAAACAACAACAACAACAACCACAACAACCACCACAACCATTATAAACAACAACAACAACCACCACAACCATTATAAACAACAACAACAACAACTATAAACAACAACAACCATTATAAACAACAACAACCATTATAAACAACAACAACCACAACAACAACTATTATAAACAACTATTATAAACAACAACCATTATAAACAACAACAACAACTATTATAAACAACAACAACAACTATAAACAACAACAACCACTATTATAAACAACAACAACAACAACTATAAACAACAACAACAACCACAACAACCACAACAACCACAACTATTATAAACAACAACAACAACAACAACCACTATTATAAACAACAACCATTATAAACAACAACAACAACCATTATAAACAACAACCATTATAAACAACAACAACAACAACCACAACAACCACCACAACCATTATAAACAACAACAACCACAACAACAACCATTATAAACAACAACAACAACAACAACCACAACAACCACCACAACCATTATAAACAACAACAACAACCACAACAACAACAACTATTATAAACAACAACAACAACCACAACTATTATAAACAACAACAACAACTATAAACAACAACAACAACCATTATAAACAACAACAACAACCACAACTATTATAAACAACAACAACAACAACAACTATAAACAACAACAACCATTATAAACAACAACAACCACAACCATTATAAACAACAACAACAACTATAAACAACAACAACAACCATTATAAACAACAACAACAACAACAACAACAACAACAACCACAACAACCACAACAACCACAACCATTATAAACAACAACAACAACCACAACAACCACAACTATTATAAACAACAACAACAACCACAACTATTATAAACAACAACAACAACAACAACTATAAACAACAACAACAACCATTATAAACAACAACAACCACAACTATTATAAACAACAACAACAACTATAAACAACAACAACAACCATTATAAACAACAACAACCACAACAACCACCACAACCATTATAAACAACAACAACCACAACAACAACTATTATAAACAACTATTATAAACAACAACCATTATAAACAACAACAACCATTATAAACAACAACCATTATAAACAACAACAACAACCATTACAAACAACAATCATTATAAACAACAACAACCATTATAAACAACAACCATTATAAACAACCATTATAAACAACAACAACCATTATAAACAACTATTATAAACAACAACAACAACTATTATAAACAACAACTATAAACAACAACAACAACCATTATAAACAACAATTATAAACAACAACAACAACTATTATAAACAACCATTATAAACAACAACCATTATAAACAACAACAACCATTATAAACAACAACCATTATAAACAACAACAACCACAACAACAACTATTATAAACAACAACAACTATAAACAACAACAACAACCATTATAAACAACAATTATAAACAACAACAACAACAACTATTATAAACAACCATTATAAACAACAACCATTATAAACAACAACAACCATTATAAACAACAACCATTATAAACAACCATTATAAACAACAACAACCATTATAAACAACTATTATAAACAACAACAACCATTATAAACAACAACAACCATTATAAACAACAACAACCATTATAAACAACAACAAAAATTATAAACAACAACAACAACAACCATTATAAACAACAACAACAACCATTATAAACAACAACAACTATTATAAACAACAACAACCATTATAAACAACAACAACAACCATTATAAACAACAACAACCATTATAAACAACAACAACCGTTATAAACAACAACAACAACAACAACCATTATAAACAACAACAACAACCATTATAAACAACAACAACAACCATTATAAACAACAACAACAACCATTATAAACAACAACAACTATTATAAACAACAACAACCATTATAAACAACAACAACCATTATAAACAACAACCATTATAAACAACAACAACCATTATAAACAACAACAACCACAACCATTATAAACAACAACAACCAGTATAAACAACAACAACCATTATAAACAACAACAACCATTATAAACAACAACAAAAATTATAAACAACAACAACAACCATTATAAACAACAACAACAACCATTATAAACAACAACAACTATTATAAACAACAACAACCATTATAAACAACAACAACAACCATTATAAACAACAACAACCATTATAAACAACAACAACCGTTATAAACAACAACAACAACCATTATAAACAACAACAACCATTATAAACAACAACAACCATTATAAACAACAACAACAACCATTATAAACAACAACAACTATTATAAACAACAACAACCATTATAAACAACAACAACCGTTATAAACAACAACAACAACCATTATAAACAACAACCATTATAAACAACAACAACCACAACCATTATAAACAACAACAACCATTATAAACAACAACAACCATTATAAACAACAACAACAACCATTATAAACAACAACAACAACAACCATTATAAACAACAACAACAACCATTATAAACAACAACCATTATAAACAACAACCATTATAAACAACAACAACAATGATCAACAACACACTGTGTACACTGTGTGTGTGTACACATTGTGTGTGTGTGTACACATTGTGTGTGTGTGCACAGTGTGTGTGTGTGTACAGGTGTGTGTGTGTACACATTGTGTGTGTGTACAGGTGTGTGTGTGTACAGGTGTGTGTGTACACACAGTGTGTGTGTGTGTACAGGTGTGTGTGTGTACACAGTGTGTGTGTGTACAGGTGTGTGTGTGTGTACAGGTGTGTGTGTGTGTGTGTACACACTGTGTGTGTACAGGTGTGTGTGAAACCCCCTACCTCCTCGCGGTGCCGGACGGGCAACTCTGTCGTGGACAGTGCTGTGGGGGGAGATCCAATTTTGATTGGCTCCCCCCCTCATGGCATATGTGTCCACCACAGGGGCTAAACGGGGGCTCTGGACGGGTGCGAGGGGCTGGTAACCCCTCCACCTTCAATTAATTACCAAGAAACCACGAATTAAACTGAAATATGTAACTAATAAGCTTGTGCCGGAGGCCCCAGGGAGCCAGGAGACGTCAACCCCAATTGGCGGAGCCAGGAGATTGAATACCTACCCTCGGGGCTACTCCAGAAACAACGAAAAGCCACTACAGGTGGCCACGTGGAATGTTCCAACGCTCACTGCAGAGGAGAGGCTGCCACTCCTCTGTCGGGAGCTGGACCGGTACCGCCTGGATCTATGCGGCATTCAGGAGGTCCGGTGGACCGGCTCTGGCTCCTGCCACCATGAGGGGTGGACAGTCCTCTACTCGGGGCAGCAGACTGCTAAACAACAGGGTGTGGGTCTTCTTTTGAACAAAAGAATGAAGGGGGCGTGGAAGCGTGGCGGTGAGGTGTGGGAAGCTGTAAGCCCCAGGCTACTTTGGGCTCGCCTTCCCATCAACGGGAGGTGAGGAATGGTGGTCGTGGTTACTTATGCCCCCACCGAAGATGAACATCCATGGAGGGATGCAGGCAAAGCCGATGAGTCAGATGCCTTCTATGACCTCCTGTCACAGGTGCTGGCTAAAGTGGCCCCTCGGGATAGAGTCATCATGTTGGGTGACTTCAATGCCCGAGTTGGTCATGATACTGGCACCTGGTCTGGAGTGATTGGAGGGCATGGGCCAGATCAGCTCAATAACAACGGTAGGAGGCTGCTAGATTTTTGTGCAGCCCATGGGCTTGTAATTACCAACACGCTGTTCCGGCATCGGCGCATCCACACAACATCATGGATGCATGCCGGGTCCAAGCAAGAACATCTGCTGGACTACATAGTGACGGACCAGCGAATGCGAGCCCATGTCCTTGATACCAGGACCTACCGTGGAGCTGATCTGCCCTCTGACCATCGACTAGTCATCTGTAAGATGCGCCTGCCATTCTTCCACTCCGGTGGTGGGTGTACACCCAGGACCCCATTCCAACATAAAGTGGCCTGGTCTCAGTTATCTGATGAAAGTTGCAAGCGAGAATTTCATCATCGCTTGCGGCTGGGATTGGCATCGTCCCCGACTCCTCCTGATGTCAAGGGTAAATGGGCGAGGTTTAGGACTGTGACTCATGCAGCTGCAATGGCTGCTTTGGGTACGCGGTCCAGACCTCCCCAGAGACCCTGGCTGACAGAGGAGGTGTTCAGGATGGTTGAGAAAAAGCGACAGGCCCACTGTCATCGGCTACAGAATCCCACGTCAGAGAATGAGGAGGCTTACCGCAGCCTTCGCTCGGAGGTTCGGAGAGCCGTGAGGCGCTGCAAGGATGGGTGGTGGTCGCAGGTTGCTGAGGAGATGGAGTCTGCCTCAGTGGCCCGTGATCACAAATCTCTATTTAACTCCATCAAAAAAGTAACCTGCAGCGCCACACCTATTACCATCATTAGGGGAAAAAACGGTGATCCAATCTCCGACCCCCAGGAACAGGTTCGCAGATTTGCTGAGCATTTCTGTGAGGTCCTGGGGGAGGGAAAATCCCTCAGCCAGGAAAACATCGTGGCACAAAGTGAGGATGACCCTGCTGAGGCTGCGGTGCCTCAAATATTGGAAGAAGTCACCCCCTGTGAGTGGCTGGCTGAGGTGCCATCTGCTGAGGAAGTATTGAAGGCGATCCGGAGTCTGAGACCAGGAAAGGCAGCGGGCAGAGATGATCTCCCAAGCGAAATGCTGAGGGAGGGTGGCGTTTGGGCACAGACTGCCCTATATGACATCATAACAACAGTCTGGACCACTGGATGGGTTCCGCAGGATTGGAAGGATGCCCTGGTGGTCCCCCTTTTTAAGAAGGGGGACCGCACAGACTGTAACAACTACAGGGGCATCTCACTCCTCAGTGTGCCGGGAAAGGTCCTGGCATAGATTATTCAGCATCGCCTTGCCAGGCACGCTGAGGAGAGGCTTGCGGAGCCCCAATGCGGTTTCAGGAAAGGGCGGTCTTGCACAGATGCCATATTTTCTGTCCGTCTGCTACAGCAGAGGTGTAGGGAATTCCAACAAGACCTACATCTCTGCTTTATTGACCTGGTCAAGGCCTATGATACCATCAGTAGGCCTGGGCTCTGGGTCGTTCTTCGTGCTTTTGGAGTACCTGACCCTCTGCTCACGATCATTAAGGACCTTCATGATGGTGAGCGGGCCTGGATAAAACTACATGGCCGGGAGTCAGAGCCATTCCCTGTACACCTTGGGGTGCGACAGGGATGTCCTCTGGCTCCCACATTATTTAACATCTATTTTGACCACGTAGTTCGTGAAGCCTTCAATAGCTGTACCGGGGGAATCTCCATATGGTACAGATATAATGGGAGGCTAATCGATGCCCGGGTGCGGTCAAGGGATGGCTCCCTATTGCTCAACCACGTTATGTATGCTGATGATTTGGTAATAGCTGCTCAGTCAGAGGAGGAGTTGGAGACGCTGCTGCTGAGACTGGAGCGTGCCACTAAGAGGTGGGGCCTTACAATCAGCCCCACCAAAACTAAGCACCTGCCTGAGTATTTTGTACCATCGGACACTCCACCCCCACAACTCCCAATCGGTGATGGGGCAGTTGTGGAGAGAGTGGAGAGTTTCCCATACCTGGGCAGTGTGCATATGACTGGCTCCAGTTTAACAGCAGAGGTCTCACTCCGAATCAGTCGAGCGGCAATATCTTTTTATCGGTTGCGTAACGCTGTGTGGAAGCTACCTGGTCTGTCGCTCCGCACTAAGCTTCAGGTCTTCTCGGCCACGGTCATTCCCTCCCTTCTTTACGCTTGCGAAACGTGGACCCCCCTAATGGAACATCTTCGCCGGTTAGAAACATTTAGGCTGGCCTGCCTACGATCCATCCTGGGTTTAACCAGACTGGATTGTGTGAGGAGCTCACAAATCCTTGAAAGATCTGGGCAGGGTCCCATCGGTGAGCTCCTCCGGCAGGCAAGGCTGCGATGGCTGGGTCATGTAGCCCGCATGCCCAGCCACCGCATGCCGAAACAGCTTTTGTTTGGCCGGATTGAGGGGGCTAAGCGGGCGCGGCACGGGCTAGAGAAGAGATGGAGTGATGTGGTACAGGAGGACGTGGTGCTGAGTGGACTTGCCGATGACTGGTACCAGCGGTGTCAAGATCGGCCGCAGTGGAGGAGGCTCGTGAAGGATGCTACTGGGCAGTTGGAGGCAGTTGCCCTCCAACAACAACGGAGGGCGGAGGAGCGATGCTCAGAACAACGAGCGGAGCGCCGGGTGGCTAAAGCACAGCAGGTTGGCACAGTAGGGGGCACAGGTGGTGCATCAGCCACTCATCTCAGTCAGTCGACCCGTGGCACCTGGGTCTGCCCCGTGACCTCCTGCCAGCGGGCGTTCGACACTTCACGTGGCCTCAAGGTGCACATAGCCTGGCACAAGCGTCGTGGTGACGTCACCGTCACTTAGTGGCGAATGGCGGTTGTTGTTGTTGTTGTGAGTGAATGATTGGGTGAGTGTGAGTGAGTGAATGAGTGAGTGTGTCAGTGTGTGAGTGAGTGAGTGTGTGTGTGAGTGAATGATTGGGGTGAGTGTGTGGGTGAGTGAGTGAATGGGTGAGTGAGTGAGTGAGTGACTGAGTGACTGAGTGAGTGAGTGACTGAGTGAGTGACTGAGTGGGTGAATGAGTGAGTGAGTGAGCGAGAGAGCCTCACAGCATTCGATGGGGATGGAGGCGACCTGCAGGGACAGCACTTTCCCTCCAGGCTGGGGAACGTGCACACGGAACACCAGGCGCACGCGCGTGTTCTTACGCCCGATGTCCGTCTCGCCTTTCCTCAGCTCGATGTCAGAGTTGCGAAGCTTCTGGATCCCCGCACAGTCGATGCTGAGCGATGCACGCACACACACACACGCACAGTCACACAGACACACAGACACACACACAGTCACACACACAGTCACGCACACGCACAGTCACACACACACACACAGTCACACAGACACACACACAGGCACACACAGTCACACACACAGTCACACACACAGTCACGCACACGCACGCACACACACACACACACGCACGGAGACACACACACGCACGGAGACACACACACACACAGTCACACACGCACACACACGTGCACACACAGTCACACACAGTTACACACACAGACACACACACAGTCACACAGACACACACAGTCACACAGACACACACACACAGACACACAAAGACACACGCGCACGCACACACACGCACACACACGCACGCGTGGTGGTGAGCGTGGTGGTGGTGAGTGTGGTGGTGAGCGTGGTGGTGAGCGTGGTGGTGGTGGTGGTGAGTGTGGTGAGTGTGGTGGTGAGTGTGGTGGTGGTGAGCGGCCTACAGGGCCTTCATGCTGTGGTCGGGCAGCAGGGCGATCTCCAGCAGGCGGTGTGGTGAGTAGCGTGGTGGTGGTGAGTGTGGTGAGCGTGGTGGTGGTGAGTGTGGTGGTGAGCGTGGTGGTGAGTGGCCTACAGGGCCTTCATGCCATGGTCGGGCAGCAGGGCGATCTCCAGCAGGCGGTGTGGGCCCAGAGCGGCCTCGCGGCTCTGTGTGGCCACCGTCTTGCCGGTGATGCGGTGAACTTGGTAGAAGGGGTGAGGCCGCAGGGGACGCTCGTCCGCTGTGCCGATGAACATCTGAAGGGTGAGCGGCGTCTCCCGGTAGCCGCTCAGCTGCGCGCGCACGCAGACACACGCACACACAGATATACACGCAGACACACACACACAGATATACACTCACACACAGATATACACGCAGACACAGACACACGCACACACAGATATACACGCAGACACACACACACAGATATACACTCACACACAGATATACACGCAGACACACACACACAGATATACACTCACACACAGATATACACGCAGACACACACACACAGATATACACTCACACACAGATATACACGCAGACACAGACACACGCACACACAGATATACACGCAGACACACACACACAGATATACACTCACACACAGATATACACGCAGACACAGACACACGCACACACAGATATACACGCAGACACACACATACAGATATACACGCAGACACACACATACAGATATACACGCACGCACAGATATACACTCACGCACAGACACACGCACACACACAGATATACACGCACAGACACACGCACGCACAGATATACACGCACGCACAGACACACGCACACACACAGACACACACACACACAGACACACGCACACACACAGACACACGCACACACAGATATACACGCACACACAGACGCACAGATATACAACAACCGCCATTCGCCACTAAGTGGCGGTGACGTCACCACGACGCTTGTGCCAGGCCATGTGCACCCTGAGGCCACGTGAAGTGTCGAACGCCCGCTGGCAGGAGGTCACGGGGCAGACCCAGGTGCCACGGGTCGACTGACTGAGATGACTGGCTGATGCACCACCTGTGCCCCCTACTGTGCCAACCTGCTGTGCTTTAGCCACCCGGCGCTCCGCTCGTTGTTCTGAGCGTCGCTCCTCCGTCCTCCGTTGTTGTTGGAGGGCGACTGCCTCCAACTGCCCAGTAGCATCCTTCACGAGCCTCCTCCACAGAGGCCGATCTTGACACTGCTGGTACCAGTCATCGGCAAGTCCACTCAGCTCCACGTCCTCCTGTACCACATCACTCCATCTCTTCTCTAGCCCGTGCCGCGCCCGCTTAGCCCCCTCAATCCAGCCGAACAAAAGCCGTTTCGGCATGCGGTGGCTGGGCATGCGGGCGACATGACCCAGTCATCGCAGCCTTGCCCGCCGGAGGAGCTCACTGATGGGATCTTGCCCAGATCTTTCAAGGATTTGTGAGCTCCTCACACAATCCAGTCTGGTTAAACCCAGGATGGATCGTAGGCAGGCCAGCCTAAATGTTTCTAACTGGCGAAGATGTTCCATTAGGGGAGTCCACGTTTCGCAAGCGTAGAGAAGGGAGGGAATGACCGTGGCCGAGAAGACCTGAAGCTTAGTGCGGAGCGACAGACCAGGTAGCTTCCACACAGCGTTACGCAACCGATGACAAGATATTGCCGCTCAACTGATTCGGAGTGAGACCTCTGCTGTTAAACTGGAGCCGGTCATAAGCACACTGCCCAGGTATGGGAAACTCTCCACTCTCTCCACAACTGCCCCATCACCGATTGGGAGTTGTGGGAGTGGTGTGTCCGATGGTACAAAATATCCAGGCAGGTGCATAGTTTTGGTGGGGCTGATGGTAAGGCCCCATCTCTTAGTGGCATGCTCCAGTCTCAGCAGCAGCGTCTCCAACTCCTCCTCTGAATGAGTAGCTATTACCAAATCATCAGCATACCTAACGTGGTTGAGCAATAGGGAGCCATCCTTTGACCGCACCCGGTCATCGATCAGCCTCCCATACAGCTATTGAAGGCTTCACGAACTACGTGATCAAAATAGATGTTAAATAATGTGGGAGCCAGAGGACATCCTTGTCGCACCCCAAGGTGTGCAGGGAATGGCTCTGACTCCCGGCCACGTAGTTTTACCCGGGCCCGCTCACCATCATGAAGGTCCTTAATGATCGTAAGCAGAGGGTCAGGTACTCCAAAAGCACGAAGAACAACCCAGAGCCCAGGCCTACTGATGGTATCAAAGGCCTTGACCAGGTCAATAAAGCAGAGATGTAGGTCTTGTTGGAATTCCCTACACCTCTGCTGTAGCAGACGGACAGAAAATATGGCATCTGTGCAGGACCGCCCTTTCCTGAAACCGCATTGGGGCTCCGCAAGCCTCTCCTCAGCGTGCCTGGCAAGGCGATGTTGAATAATCCTTGCCAGGACCTTTCCCGGCACACTGCGGAGTGAGATGCCCCTGTAGTTGTTACAGTCTGTGCGGTCCCCCTTCTTAAAAAGGGGGACCACCAGGGCATCCTTCCAATCCTGCGGAACCCGTCCAGTGGTCCAGACTGTTGTTATGATGTCATATAGGGCAGTCTGTGCACAAACGCCACCCTCCCTCAGCATTTCGCTTGGGAGATCATCTCTGCCCGCTGCCTTTCCTGGTCTCAAGACTCCGGATCGCCTTCAGTACTTCCTCAACAGATGGCACCTCAGCCAGCCACTCACAGGGGGTGACTTCTTCCAATATTTGAGGCACCGCAGCCTCAGCAGGATTATCCTAATTTTGTGCCACGATGTTTTCCTGGCTGAGGGATTTTCCCTCCCCAAGGACCTCACAGAAATGCTCAGCAAATCTGCAAACCTGTTCCTGGGGGTCGGAGATTGGATCACCGTTTTTTCCCCTGATGGTAATAGGTGTGGCGCTGCAGGTTACTTTTTTGATGGAGTTAAATAGAGATTTGTGATCACGGGCCACTGAGGCAGACTCCATCTCCTCAGCAACCCGCGACCACCACCCATTCTTGCAGCGCCTCACGGCTCTCCGAACCTACGAGCGAAGTCTGCGGTAAGCCTCCTCATTCTCTGACGTGGGATTCTGTAGACAATGAGAGTGGGCCTGTCGCTTTTTCTGAACCATCCTGAACACCTCCTCTGTCAGCCAGGGTCTCTGGGGAGGTCTGGACCACGTACCCAAAGCAGCCATTGCAGCTGCATGAGTCACAGTCCTAAACCTCGCCCATTTACCCTCGACATCAGGAGGAGTGGGGGACGATGCCAATCCCAGCCGCAAGCGATGATGAAATTCTTGCTTGCAACTTTCATCAGATAACTGAGACCAGGCCACTTTAGGTTGGAATGGGGTCCTGGGTGTACACCCACGACCGGAGTGGAAGAATGGCAGGCGCGTCTTACAGATGACTAGTCGATGGTCAGAGGGCAGATCAGCTCCACGGTAGGTCCTGGTGTCAGGGACATGGGCTCACATCCGCTGGTCCGTCACTATGTAGACCAGCAGATGTTCTTGCTTGGACCCGGCATGCATCCATGATGTTGTGTGGATGCGCCGATGCCGGAACAGCGTGTTGGTAATTACAAGCCCATGGGCTGCACAACAATCTAGCAGCCTCCTACCGTTGTTATTGAGCTGATCTGGCCCATGCCCTCCAATCACTCCAGACCAGGTGCCAGCATCATGACCAACTCGGGCATTGAAGTCACCCAACATGATGACTCTATCCCGAGGGGCCACTTTAGCCAGCACCTGTGACAGGAGGTCATAGAAGGCATCTGACTCATCGGCCTTGCCTGCATCCCTCCACGGATGTTCATCTTCGGTGGGGGCATAAGTAACCACGACCACCATTCCTCGCCTCCGGTTGATGGGAAGGCGAGCCCAAAGTAGCCTGGGGCTTACAGCTTCCCACACCTCACCGCCACGCTCCCACGCCCCCTTCATTCTTTTGTTCAAAAGAAGAGCCACACCCTGTTGTTTGGCAGTCTGCTGCCCCGAGTAGAGGACTGTCCACCCCTCATGGTGGCAGAAGCCAGAACCGGTCCACCGGACCTCCTGAATGCCACAGAGATCCAGGCGGTACCGGTCCAGCCGCCGACAGAGGAGTGGCAGCTTCTCCTCCGCAGTGAGCGTTCGAACATTCCACGTGGCCACCCGTAGTGGCTTTTCGTTGTTTCTGGAGGAGCCCCTAGGGTAGAGATTCAATCTCCTGGCTCCGCCAATTGGGGTTTGGCCAGGAGACGTCATAGACGCCTGGCCCCCCGGGGCCTCCGGCACAAGCTTATTAGTTACATATTTCAGTTTAACTCGTGGTTTCGTGGTAATTAATTGAAGGTGGAGGGGTTACCAGCCCCTCGCACCCGTCCAGATATACACGCACGCACAGACACGCACAGACACATACACACACACACACGTACACACACACACACGTACACGCGCACATACACACACGCACGTTACCGTGACCGCGGCGGTTACCGTGACGACGGGGTGCCCGCTTCCCGTGGCGGCGGCCTTGACGGCGCCGCGGCTGCCCTCCGTCTCGTAGTGGGCACGGTGGTGGCCGCGAGGCTGCACCTCCACACGCAGCTCGCAGGAACCCACGTGGGAGGGCAGCCACTGGGACAGACTGGGCAGTCCCTCCACCCTGTCACGTGGGAGGGGGGGGGGGTCACGTGGGGGGGAGTCACGTGGGGGGGGGGGTCACAGTGGGGGGGGGTCACAGTGGGAAGGGTCACAGACCCTCCACACGACCCCCACAAACCCTCCGCTCGACCCCCACAAACCCCTCGCGACCCCTCCACGCGACCCCCACGAACCCTCGCGACCCCTCCACGCGACCCCCACGAACCCACGCGACCCCTCCGCTCGACCCCCACGACCCCTCGCGACCCCCACGACCCCTCGCGACCCCTCCCCGCGACCCCCACGAACCCCTTGCGACCCCTCCACGCGACCCCCGTGACCCCTCCACGCGACCCCCATGAACCCTCGCGACCCCTCCGCTCGACCCCTCCCCGCGACCCCCACGAACCCCTCGCGACCCCTCCACGCGACGGCGCCGCACCGCCACCCACCCGCACAGCGCCGGCTGCTTGGGCAGAGTCCAGGGGCACGCCGGCACCGCCAGGAACGGCTGCGGCAACGACGCCGATGACGCCGATGACGCCGACGGCGCCGACGATGACGCCGGCGGCGGCGGCGGCGGCGATGGCGGCTCCACCTCGGCCTTCAGGAAGGTGCTGACGTCACACTCCGCGTCATCCCACGACCCAACCTGCTGCTGCTGCTGCTGCTGCTGTAGGAGCAGCAGCTGCTGCAGCTGTTGCAGCTGCTGCAGCTGCTGCTGCTGCTGCTGCAGCTGCTGCAGCTGCTGCAGCTGGAGCTGTCCCTCGAAGCCGGGCGCCGTGTGGTCCTGGGAGGTGCGGCGAGACTTGGACGGGATGCTCTCCTGCGAGTCCACGTCCTGCCAGCAGCGGCAGCAGAGGCGGCAGAAGCAGCAACAGGGGAAGCAGCAGCAGAAGAAGAAGCAGCAGAAGCAGAAGCACAAGTGGCCGAAGAAGCAGCGGAAGAAGCAGAGGCAGCAGAAGCAGCAGAAGAAGCAGAAGCAGCAGAGGCAGCAGAGGCAGCAGAAGCAGCAGCGGAAGAACCAGAAACAGAAGCAGAAACAGAAGCAGAAACAGCAGAAGCAACAGCAGAAGCAGCAACAGGGGAAGCAGCAGCAGAAGAAGCAGCAGAAGCAGAAGCACAAGTGGCCGAAGAAGCAGCGGAAGAAGCAGAGGCAGCAGAAGCAGCAGAAGAAGCAGAGGCAGCAGAGGCAGCAGAAGCAGCAGCGGAAGAAGCAGAAACAGCGGAAGCAACAGCAGAAGCAGCAGAAGCAGCAGAAGCAGCAGCAGCGACATCACCGTCACTGTCATCACCGCCATCATCATCATCATCTTCATCATCATCAGCATCATCATCAGCAGCACACTTGGGGTGTGTGCTGGACCCGGGGCCTGGACCCCAGACCTGGGGACTGGGCCTCGGGCCTGGGCCCAATCCCTAGACTCCAGGCCCCTGGGCCTGGCTGGAACCCTAGACCCGGGCCTAGGCCTTAGATACCAGGCCTGGGTGTGGCCCCCGGGCTTGGGCCTGGACTCTGGGATTTGGGTCTTGGCCTAGATCCCAGGCATGGGAACTGGACTCCAGGCCTTGGCCTAACCCCTGGGCCTGGTCCCCGCGGGCCGCTGACTGGACCCTTGGCCTGTGCCTGGACCACAGACCAAGACCCCGGGCCTGGGCCTGGGCCTGGTCTCGTGGGCCTGTGCCTGGACCACAGACCAAGACCCCGGGCCTGGGCCTGTGCCTGGTCTCGTGGGCCTGTGCCTGGACCACCGGCCTAGACCCCGGGCCTGGGCCTGGGCCTGTGCCTGGTCTCCTGGGCCTGTGCCTGGACCACCGGCCTAGACCCCGGGGTCTGGGCCTGTGCCTGTGCCTGGTCTCATGGGCCTGTGCCTGGACCACCGGCCTAGACCCCGGGCCTGGGCCTGGGCCTGGGCCTGTGCCTGGTCTCGTGGGCCTGTGCCTGGACCACCGGCCTAGACCCCCCCCCCCCACCTCCCCGTGTTCTCGCCTCGCCCGGTGGCATGAGCAGCAGCAGCAGCGGCGGCGGCGGCTGCGGCTGCTCCCCCTCGTTGATGCTGGAGCGGCGCGAGGTGGCGGGCGACGGCGTGGGGGAGAGGTGGGGGGAGCTGCAGGCGGAGCCGCAGCCTCCACCGCCTCCGCCGCCTCCGCCGCCTCCGCCGCCTCCGCCGCCTCCCGCCGCCGCGTGGGGATCGGCGCTCGAGTGACGCCGCTTGCCGCCGTACGGCGAGGTGGAGCGCGCCGGGTGCAGGAGGTGGGGCTCGTCCGCCGGAGTCGAGTTGCCGGCGCCGGCGCCGCCGCCGCCCACCGCGCGCGGGGAGACGCGGCCCAGGCCTGGCACGGTGGCGGGGATGGGGAGCGGGTGGAATGTTGTACAGTTGTTGAGTTTCTTGGGCATCACCGTGCGTAGCCGACCACAATAAACTGTGGCTCTCCGCTGTGTGATGAGTCTGTGGGTCTCTGCTATGTGATGAGTCTATGGGTCTCTGCTGTGTGATGAGTCTGTGGGTCTCTGCTGTGTGATGAGTCTATGGGTCTCTGCTGTGTGATGAGTCTATGGGTCTCTGCTGTGTGATGAGTCTATGGGTCTCTGCTGTGTGATGAGTCTATGGGTCTCTGCTGTGTGATGAGTCTATGGGTCTCTGCTGTGTGATGAGTCTATGTCTCTGTGTGATGAGTTTATGACTCTGTGTGATGAGTCTATGGCTCTCTGTGATGAGTCTATGGCTCTCTGTGATGAGTCTATGGCACTGTGTGATGAGTCTATGGCTCTGTGTGATGAGTCTATGTCTCTGTGTGATGAGTCTATGTCTCTGTGTGATGAGTCTATGGCTCTGTGTGATGAGTCTATGAATCTGTGTGATGAGTCTATGGCTCTGTGTGATGAGTCTATGGCTCTGTGTGATGAGTCTATGTCTCTGTGTGATGAGTCTATGTCTCTCTGTGATGAGTCTATGGCTCTGTGTGATGAGTCTATGGCTCTGTGTGATGAGTCTATGTCTCTGTGTGATGAGTCTATGGCTCTGTGTGATGAGTCTATGGCTCTGTGTGATGAGTCTATGTCTCTGTATGATGAGTCTATGAATCTGTGTGATGAGTCTATGTCTCTGTATGATGAGTCTATGTCTCTGTGTGATGAGTCTATGTCTCTGTGTGATGAGTCTATGGCTCTGTGTGATGAGTCTATGGCTCTGTGTGATGAGTCTATGGCTCTGTGTGATGAGTCTATGTCTCTGTGTGATGAGTCTATGTCTCTGTGTGATGAGTCTATGTCTCTGTGTGATGAGTCTATGAATCTGTGTGATGAGTCTATGGCACTGTGTGATGAGTCTATGAATCTGTGTGATGAGTCTATGTCTCTGTGTGATGAGTCTATGTCTCTGTGTGATGAGTCTATGGCTCTCTGTGATGAGTCTATGTCTCTGTGTGATGAGTCTATGTCTCTCTGTGATGAGTCTATGGCTCTGTGTGATGAGTCTATGGCTCTGTGTGATGAGTCTATGAATCTGTGTGATGAGTCTATGAATCTGTGTGATGAGTCTATGTCTCTGTGTGATGAGTCTATGGCTCTGTGTGATGAGTCTATGGCTCTGTGTGATGAGTCTATGTCTCTGTGTGATGAGTCTATGTCTCTGTGTGATGAGTCTATGGCTCTGTGTGATGAGTCTATGGCTCTGTGTGATGAGTCTATGGCTCTGTGTGATGAGTCTATGTCTCTGTGTGATGAGTCTATGTCTCTGTGTGATGAGTCTATGTCTCTCTGTGATGAGTCTATGGCTCTGTGTGATGAGTCTATGGCTATGTCTCTGTATGATGAGTCTATGACTCTGTGTGATGAGTCTATGTCTCTGTGTGATGAGTCTATGGCTCTGTGTGATGAGTCTATGTCTCTGTGTGATGAGTCTATGGCTCTGTATGATGAGTCTATGGCTCTGTGTGATGAGTCTATGGCTCTGTGTGATGAGTCTATGTCTCTGTGTGATGAGTCTATGGCTCTGTGTGATGAGTCTATGGCTCTCTGTGATGAGTCTATGGCTCTCTGTGATGAGTCTATGGCTCTGTGTGATGAGTCTATGGCACTGTGTGATGAGTCTGTCTCTGTGTGATGAGTCTATGGCTCTGTGTGATGAGTCTATGGCTCTGTGTGATGAGTCTATGTCTCTGTGTGATGAGTCTATGTCTCTGTGTGATGAGTCTATGGCTCTGTGTGATGAGTCTATGGCTCTGTGTGATGAGTCTATGGCTCTGTGTGATGAGTCTATGGCTCTGTGTGATGAGTCTATGTCTCTGTGTGATGAGTCTATGTCTCTGTGTGATGAGTCTATGTCTCTGTGTGATGAGTCTATGTCTCTGTGTGATGAGTCTATGTCTCTGTGTGATGAGTCTATGGCACTGTGTGATGAGTCTATGTCTCTGTGTGATGAGTCTATGTCTCTGTGTGATGAGTCTATGGCACTGTGTGATGAGTCTATGGCTCAGTGTGATGAGTCTATGGCTCTGTGTGATGAGTCTATGGCTCTGTGTGATGAGTCTATGTCTCTGTGTGATGAGTCTATGTCTCTGTGTGATGAGTCTATGAATCTGTGTGATGAGTCTATGGCTGTGTGATGAGTCTATGTCTCTGTGTGATGAGTCTATGTCTCTGTGTGATGAGTCTATGTCTCTGTGTGATGAGTCTATGACTCTGTGTGATGAGTCTATGTCTCTGTATGATGAGTCTATGGCTCTGTGTGATGAGTCTATGTCTCTGTATGATGAGTCTATGTCTCTGTGTGATGAGTCTATGTCTCTGTGTGATGAGTCTATGTCTCTGTGTGATGAGTCTATGTCTCTGTGTGATGAGTCTATGACTCTGTGTGATGAGTCTATGGCTCTGTGTGATGAGTCTATGTCTCTGTGTGATGAGTCTATGGCTCTGTGTGATGAGTCTATGTCTCTGTGTGATGAGTCTATGTCTCTGTGTGATGAGTCTATGACTCTGTGTGATGAGTCTATGTCTCTGTGTGATGAGTCTATGTCTCTGTGTGATGAGTCTATGGCTCTGTGTGATGAGTCTATGTCTCTGTATGATGAGTCTATGGCTCTGTGTGATGAGTCTATGTCTCTGTGTGATGAGTCTATGGCTGTGTGATGAGTCTATGGCTGTGTGATGAGTCTATGGCTGTGTGATGAGTCTATGTCTCTGTGTGATGAGTCTATGTCTCTGTATGATGAGTCTATGGCTCTGTGTGATGAGTCTATGTCTCTGTGTGATGAGTCTATGGCTGTGTGATGAGTCTATGGCTGTGTGATGAGTCTATGGCTCTGTGTGATGAGTCTATGTCTCTGTGTGATGAGTCTATGGCTCTGTGTGATGAGTCTATGTCTCTGTGTGATGAGTCTATGTCTCTGTGTGATGAGTCTATGGCTGTGTGATGAGTCTATGGCACTGTGTGATGAGTCTATGTCTCTGTGTGATGAGTCTATGGCTCTGTGTGATGAGTCTATGGCTCTGTGTGATGAGTCTATGTCTCTGTGTGATGAGTCTATGTCTCTGTGTGATGAGTCTATGGCTCTGTGTGATGAGTCTATGTCTCTGTGTGATGAGTCTATGTCTCTGTGTGATGAGTCTATGTCTCTGTGTGATGAGTCTATGGCTCTGTGTGATGAGTCTATGTCTCTGTGTGATGAGTCTATGGCTGTGTGATGAGTCTATGTCTCTGTGTGATGAGTCTATGTCTCTGTGTGATGAGTCTATGTCTCTGTGTGATGAGTCTATGTCTCTGTGTGATGAGTCTATGGCTCTGTGTGATGAGTCTATGTCTCTGTGTGATGAGTCTATGGCTGTGTGATGAGTCTATGTCTCTGTGTGATGAGTCTATGTCTCTGTGTGATGAGTCTATGTCTCTGTGTGATGAGTCTATGTCTCTGTGTGATGAGTCTATGGCTCTGTGTGATGAGTCTATGTCTCTGTGTGATGAGTCTATGGCTCTGTGTGATGAGTCTATGGCTCTGTGTGATGAGTCTATGGCTCTGTGTGATGAGTCTATGACTCTGTGTGATGAGTCTATGAATCTGTGTGATGAGTCTATGGCTGTGTGATGAGTCTATGGGTCTCTGCTGTGTGATGAGTCTATGGCTCTCTGCTGTGTGATGAGTCTATGTCTCTGTGTGATGAGTCTATGTCTCTGTGTGATGAGTCTATGTCTCTGTGTGATGAGTCTATGGCACTGTGTGATGAGTCTATGTCTCTGTGTGATGAGTCTATGTCTCTGTGTGATGAGTCTATGTCTCTGTGTGATGAGTCTATGGCTCTGTGTGATGAGTCTATGAATCTGTGTGATGAGTCTATGGCTCTGTGTGATGAGTTTATGGCTCTGTGTGATGAGTCTATGAATCTGTGTGATGAGTCTATGAATCTGTGTGATGAGTCTATGTCTCTGTGTGATGAGTCTATGTCTCTGTATGATGAGTCTATGTCTCTGTGTGATGAGTCTATGGCTCTGTGTGATGAGTCTATAGCTGTGTGATGAGTCTATGTCTCTGTGTGATGAGTCTATGTCTCTGTGTGATGAGTCTATGTCTCTGTGTGATGAGTCTATGTCTCTGTGTGATGAGTCTATGTCTCTGTGTGATGAGTCTATGTCTCTGTGTGATGAGTCTATGTCTCTGTGTGATGAGTCTATGTCTCTGTGTGATGAGTCTATGTCTCTGTGTGATGAGTCTATGTCTCTGTGTGATGAGTCTATGTCTCTGTGTGATGAGTCTATGGCTGTGTGATGAGTCTATGTCTCTGTGTGATGAGTCTATGTCTCTGTGATGAGTCTATGTCTCTGTGTGATGAGTCTATGTCTCTGTGTGATGAGTCTATGTCTCTGTGTGATGAGTCTATGTCTCTGTGTGATGAGTCTATGTCTCTGTGTGATGAGTCTATGTCTCTGTGTGATGAGTCTATGTCTCTGTGTGATGAGTCTATGTCTCTGTGTGATGAGTCTATGTCTCTGTGTGATGAGTCTATGTCTCTGTGTGATGAGTCTATGTCTCTGTGTGATGAGTCTATGTCTCTGTGTGATGAGTCTATGTCTCTGTGTGATGAGTCTATGTCTCTGTGTGATGAGTCTATGGCTCTGTGTGATGAGTCTATGACTCTGTGTGATGAGTCTATGTCTCTGTGTGATGAGTCTATGGCTCTGTATGATGAGTCTATGTCTCTGTGTGATGAGTCTATGTCTCTGTGTGATGAGTCTATGGCTCTGTGTGATGAGTCTATGGCTCTGTGTGATGAGTCTATGTCTCTGTGTGATGAGTCTATGGCTCTGTGTGATGAGTCTATGTCTCTGTGTGATGAGTCTATG